ATTTACACCCCTATTAACTAGGTGTGCCTGCAATACTAACGTTAATTACAGGCTCAGTATCTGCAAACACGTTTCTATAAAAACTCAGACAGTGAAGCAGTAACAGTGACAGTAGGAGGAAAAAAGAGGAGAGTGCAGTAAAAGTCGCCTCCGTTTGACAGATCCCAACAGCTGCAACAACACGTACAGGTTCCAGGGGAAAGGTTGGAAGGTTTTAACATCAAGGAGACACACATAAAGGAAACATGGTTGAAATCAAAGCAGCAATAATTTATAATAAAAGGAAACTGCCCATAAAAAATGAGAGAAATGATGAAAGACAAACCTTTCACAGCTCAGTATTCATGCTCCCCATTACCAACATTTATTATAAATGAAACCTTAAATGGCTACTGAAATGCTGCATGGAGAACTGGAGGAGAACGGATAGTTGTTTCTGTGGGTTCACCTGATGAGATGGAGGTTCGAGGCTGTGGTCTCCAGACGGAGCCAAATTCTGCAGCTCCGGTTCCGTCCTCTCCGCGTCTGGAGTCGCAGCGCTGGCTTCACTGTCCTGATCGAAATGTGCACAAAAAAGCATGCAAAGATTCAGCCAGCAAAACAAGATGGTCCTTCCTAAAGCTATACACGCCTTTTAAAATATGTGCTCACCTCATAATGCAGGCCTCCTCCAAGAGCATCTGAGTCTAGGAGGTTTTTCAGGAGTCTGTCTGATCCACGAGGACTCAGCTGGAAACAAGACCAGGTCTGGTTTGGTAAAAAAACAAACAAAGCATTTCAAAAAGCAACAGAAATTGAAGCCAACCTCATTTTCAGAGATTTGCTTCTGATCATCATCATGATCCTCCTCATCAGACTCCAAACCAGGCAGAGTAAATGAAATCCTCTCCTCTTTCCTTGTGACTAAAACACTCGTTGCCCCGCCGCTTCTAGGACCCTGGAAAAAAGAAAAAAAAAAACAATATAAAAAATGAAGAACAGTAAACTAAATAAATGCCAAATCAAGCTGTGGAAGAGAGGTATTACTGGAAAAGACGTCTTCAGAGGCTCCAGCCCCCCTGAGCTGCTGAGGGACCCCCTGACCGAAGGGGCAGATCCAGATAGAGGCCCTTGCCCCAAGAGATCTGGACCTCTCAGAGGGCCCAGAGTGGACAGTGGGGATGGCAGGGGCCCCAGAGAAGAACTCAACACCTGCAGAAAAGGATGGAGTGTCAGCCGAGAGACAGCGAGTTTCCACCGCTTTAAATGATCATGCTTTAATGCAGACTCATGCTTTAAATCGGGTTTTGTTGCACAGAAAGAAAAATAGCAACCTTTTTATGTTTATTGTTGTATCTTAAAGCTAAAAATGTATCAATTTAAAAAGCTTCTTGTTAAAGTTTCAGTTTTCACTGAATAAAAGACATTTTATTTACTCATTTAAAGGAAAAGTCTGGTCACATTCAGAATACAAACTTCTTAAAGTACTTTAAATATGAAATTATTACATACTGTTCAATAAATTATACGTTTTTTTTATTAATAGGGAGGTTCGCAGCCGAGTGTGAAGCGGCCAGGATGAGAATCAGCTCCTCCAAGTCCGAGGCCATGGTTCTCGACCGGAAAAAGGTGGCTTGTCCCCTTCAGGTTGGAGGAGAGT